TAATAATAATGTGGGGTGGGGAAGAATAATAAGATGCATTTTCAGGTTTTCACATTAACTTTTCCACCCGCACCGGAAAAAGAAGAAGATTTGGATTAAAGTGCATTTCACCTGTGATCTATAACTATTCAATTGGGCGCTTGTGCCTTTGAGGATTGGTTTGTTACCAGTCCCGTGCTGTTTGGGCTAATGGTTTAGTCCTTTGTAGCTGTGATCAGTTGGTCACCGATGTACTCTTTATTCGAGTTATATTAAAGTTGTTGTTTGCCGTTTGAAAAAAAAATATATATATATATATATATATATAACTATTCAATTGGAGTCCGTTTCTTGATTTAAATAATTTTTACTAAATGTGTAACAGGATTACATTTATCAGATTTTTTTATTTTAATTAATACTACATATATTTTTCTCTAATTCTATCTTATTGTTTTTCAAGTTTCACTGACTTACACTAAATTAATTATAAACTTTAAGTCATCGCCCCATTCGATTACTCAAGAAGGTAAATCGCGGGTTGTGCCCGAGTGAGCCTTTAGTTTCAACACTACTTATGCTTTTGGCCTTAAAGATTTTTTTAACTAATATGCAGCTTTAGGAATCAAACTCCCCACACTGAGTGTTATAAACTTATAGGGTCAAATCCAATTGTTAATAACTGATTTTCCAACACTGAGGCTGTGAAGCCACATGTACTATTGTTCAGCACCACTTGGCTATGCCCCAGTGAGTAGGGGTGGCATCAGTTTGGTAACTGAACCGACATGAGGATTATCGAACCAAATTGAATGTTCGAGTAACATCAAATGCTAAAACTGAAACAAAACCGATTTGTAGTCGGTTACCGTTTTTCGGTGACCAAAAAATTGGTTCAATTTCGATAATGTACGGAAACTACCGAATGACTTTTAAAAAATTTAGGCTACAACCACAAATGACAAAACCTTGTTGAGTCCATATTGGCAATGATGAGAATGCAGAAAGACAAAATAGAGAACGCCATATGTAAGCTCGGTTATGGCAAGCTTAAACTACAATCCACCTATTCACCCACATCCACCTGTCAATTCGTCAAATAGTACCTCTGGCCGCACAAGGACGTGTTCACTTTCTCATATATGGACATTGTTGATATCCGAGTTAGCCCAGAACGAACCGGGAAGGCTTAGCTCATCAAGACCCGGGTTGAAGACCCGGTCTGGCACAGAAGTGCCGAGCTGAACCACGGAATAAAGTACTCAGGACCCCCACGGGAACATTACCTGAGGCCGGCACCCAGCTCAGTACGTGCACGGGCCGACCTGGATGGGTGCCGGGTTGAAAGTAGATCCCCGGCTGTCTCACCAGCCTATTCGAGAAAAGTGACAACCTGGAGACCTGAAGTGGCCATCCCGAAGGCAAGGGCGGGGCTCGGCGAGCATTAAAATATTCCCACTTGGAAGGTCAACATTGGACGATGGGACAGGCCGTCATAGCCTGACACCCTACGTGCAAGCCTAGTCAAGAGAGCCTGCCAGCATTAAATGCCCCCATGCTTGCATTAAATTCCTGACAGGCAATGATTGAAGAAACCTCGAATCGCATTAAATAACTGCCAGGGAGACGCCGAACTGCTCAGCAAGAATACTGTGCGACAAGACTGGTGAACAGTACCTGAACAGTATCTCATTTAAGGATACTATAAATAGCAGCTCCTGTTGGTGTTATATACTTAAGCTTTGCTTTAGTGGATATTACACTTGTTATTTCTTGATGAATGAGAATTATGTTTGGTTAAATAAGTTCCACGTTCTGTTGTTTT